CGACAACTCAGGGCACTGCGACACTCAGGGGGCTGAGCCCAGTTTTATTTCAATAACTAACAATAAAAGTTTAGGACATTGCTTCGGCCTAACAGGCAAACTGCTTTGGGTTGGTGCGCGATTTCATCTTTTTCGGTTTCATTAAAATAACGTCTTACTTGTCATCACAACTCCATGGACTCTACTCAAAAAAATTTCGCCTTTGACGAATACACAGTCTCCTTCCTATTTGGTGTAAAAGCAGTCAAAGAAGAAAGAGATGTGAGTCGAGATAAGGATGGCTGCTTTGAAACTTGATTATTTTACTATTTAGGATCCACATTACTGTCATCTATTTTGCTTTAGTTTTGCTAATTTTTCATTAAAAAAATGCCCAAGTTCGTTGTCAAACCGCACCCTTAGAACTCAGAAATTCCCTGAAAATGTCTATACAAATGATCTCCTGCAATGCTTATCCATTTTTGCATGAAATTCAGTGTCTTGTGTCTAAATCAACTAAGCAGTGGCCAATATCCCTTTGCATACAGAATTTCAATAAATCTTTCCACTTACCTTATGTCATCCGTATCAGCGAGAATATCGTCTTTGCTCCAATAGAGAAAAGTTGGCGTTTGGACATTTCGCAGATCATAGGTAGGCGGTGATTTCTGAATAAGTGGATGCTCGTGAGATTCTTTTGAAAGACAATGAGAACTCACTGTTCCATATTCAGCGAAATTTCCACTCTCACCATAATCGAATTTCTCGAACTTACGCGATCGGACTACCTAAATTGTATTTCTTCTCAATTAAATTGACTCACATATTTGGACATATCTAGAGCTGCTGTACATAAGTCTTACATTATCATGGCTGTACATTAGAGAGCCTATGACCTATTGGATGCAAAAAAAAAACTTCTAATGCTGCGGCGATATTCACTTGACAATACAAATTTCCAAATGCTAGCAAAATGGTTAGTGTTTACGTAAATTTAAGGGGACTCTGGTATAATCTTAGATAATTTCTTTTTTTACCGCTTTGCCCATAAAAGCTACCTGCACCCAATGTAACAGGTTCTTCGAGGACGTGGCGGCTGGTGTGTGGCATAGATAGACGCCTAT